CACTATATACAGAGTTATGTCCCTTTGTTTATTTTCAATACGTAAGTTCGTCCGGAGCATAAGTTCCATGTTATTTCACCTACGTTGACCAAACTTACCATATTTATGTATCTTGGGAAGGTGGAATCTCGCACACTTAAATCAGGTTTTGTGCCTCACTATATACAGAGTTATGTCCCTTTGTTTATTTTCAATACGTAAGTTCGTCCGGAGCATAAGTTCCATGTTATTTCACCTACGTTGACCAAACTTACCATATTTATGTATCTTGGGAAGGTGGAATCTCGCACACTTAAATCAGGTTTTGTGCCTCACTATATACAGAGTTATGGCCCTTTGTTTATTTTTATTTCCGAAGTTTGTCCACGGCATAACTTCCATGTTATTTCACCTACGTTGACCAAACTTGCTATAGTTTTAACGTATCTTGGGAAGTGTCGCATTCTAAATATGGGTCATGTGCCCCACTATATAAAAAGATACGGCCCTTTGTTCATTTCTCATACCGAAGTTTGTCTATTTACTAACAAGGGGAGACATATGTTTTTGTTCACAAAAACAAAATTCTAGTTGAATTTGAACTTGACCAATATTCAAGGTCACATGTGACATGTGTTGAAATCCTAAATGATTGCTGTGAATGATTAAACTAGAAGTTCAGACAGAGTAATGCTGTTTGGTATTTCAGTTTGTAATGGTCAGTTAAATTGACAAAAATGTACAATGACTCGAGGCCACACAAACGAAAAGTGTAAGTCTCTTCAAATGACATCTTCTAATGAAATTTGAGGCCTGGGGTGTCGGCATAGAGGATTATCAACTTTGTCAAATATAAGAAGCTGACCAACATTCAATTTCACAGGGCCAAATTGGTTGAAGTTTTCAAATTTGCCTGTAACTTACTTGGAAGAAAGCTTTAAAGCCTGTCCAATATTCTTTAGGGCTGAAACGATACGCCTACCTCACGATACCATACATATAGCGGTACAGAATTCACGGTTCTGTATGTTTCGATACGATACAATTATTTTAATACAATGCTATACTTAAGAAATAAAATGAAAATATAGATTCAAAGAAATTTTAATCAGCTGATTCTCCTCAAAATAATACATAACCAAATGAAGAAAAAGAAATAACAATTGTAAAATACAGATAAAATCTTATAAAAGGTGATTTCTTTTACTCTAATGGACAATATTTTTAAACAGTAATCGAAGTTAATAGAAATGTCATTGTTGATCATTTGAATATACTGAATCATATCTCAAGATCATCCATGTTCTTCACGGCACTGTGTAGGTGTATCTAGGTTCCAACATGTTAAGCATGTTAAGAAACCCGGCATTATCTTTTTCTCTGATGGCGATGTCATGCTTCCTCTTTAGATGGGTAGCCATATTTATTGTGTTGCCTGTTTTGTAACTCATGTCAGTGTAACAAATAGTACACATACTAACAAGTTTGTTAGGTTATTGTTAACTACGCGAAATCTGAAGTATCCCCAGACAGGGGACCGGAATGATGCTAGAGGTTTCAATATAACGAAGTCCTCAGAGTTTGTCTCCATGTTTGTTTATTTCGAAGAGCTCTGATTTTGATAAGACATCAGCGATTGGACGAAGCGACCTTATGTTGACGAGACCAACCAATCAGAACAGGCGTTATATTGGGTAGTGTTGTACTAACAGGCGAGCGGGCAGGAATGTACCAAATGTGTACCTTGGGACCTCTCAAAATAATCGTGAACCGAACCGAAAAGAAATACTGCGGTGAATCGTGTACCGCGGTGTGTCGTTTCACCTAACCCTTTCACCCCTAGATACCTTCAATAGACTCTACCATATATTGATCTGGAGGAGTCCATTATGGTCTACAGTGGTGAAAGGGTTAATAATCTTGATCCACATACAGTCACATAAGCTAATTATTAGGGATTTTATTTGACCCTTGATAGCAGGAATCAAATCGACCTTTCCCTAAAACGTTGGAGTATCAAATTGCAAACTCATGTTGAATAGACATCCTCTTTACAAACCAAAAAATGTATGCCAATTGTTGAAAATTCAGACACCTCTCATAAAGAACTTATATTGCTTTGAGTCATGACATACAGCTTTCAAGCATGAAGAACTGTCCAAATTTAAGGTCATTCAAATGGAATAGTCTCTTGATTGGGTAAGATAATCATTTCAGTATTTAACAAGTGAGTGATACAGGCCCCTAGTACCTTTTGTTTTGTATCCTTTAAATGTCTTTCTTAGTTTGATATACATGAAGATCTATTTCTAAAAGGAAGATAACGTTAATTTTTTTCTTTTATATAACTCACCGTTAACTCACCGTTGTCGACGTCATACCATTAGTCATAGACTACTATTGACGCTTCTACTAATTCTACTGGTACGGACTCCCGGTCTGCACCTCCCGCTCTGTAGCATGCGGGGCTGAATTTTCCTGGGTGGTGTTTCCACGCACGGTTCAGTCTTGATTTGAAACAGTTTAATGATGGAGCGTTTATTACTGTGGAGTCTAGATTGTTCCACGGTTCGGTCACTCTAAACCGGGTATACATATATTTTTGGAAATAATGCAATGAAAATCATTAGCGCATTAGTCTAAATTAATAGTGATATGACGTTATTTGGAAAACTTCATTTCGCTGGTGTCACAATGACAGTTTTTTGTAAGTTTATATTTTGCATTTTATTTCACAGGAAAAAGAAAATCCAGACTTTGCTCGTGATTTACGAAAATCTGAAAATGATTATGAAAAGAAAAGAATGCAACTTCAAGTTTTTTTTGGTAAGTTAACAATATCTAAAAAAAAATCTTGAGGTGACCATATCATAGCTTAGTAAGTTTGCAAGAGTTTAAGTGTAATAAAACTGACCATGTGTTTAGGTGCTAAAATTATTCTTTTCATTATTTACTTTATATCATTGGTTTACAGTTATGTAGCCGGATGATGCTATCAACAGTTGCAGCATTTCTAAAATATAAGATTGACTCACACATGTGTTGAATAGTTTTAACTTAATCTTTGAATCTTCATAAAACAGAACAAGTAAAGAATGCCGAACGAGTGCAGCTAGATCAGATTCCTTTACCAGACCTACCACAACACAGTACAAGTAAGTAAACCTTTACCAGCCCTACCACAACACAGTACAAGTAAGTAATCCTTTACCAACCCTACCACAACACAGTACAAGTAAGTACCCCTTTACCAGACATACCACAATACAGTACAGGTAAGTAACCCTTTACCAGACATCCCACAATACAGTACAAGTAAGTACCCCTTTACCAGACCTACCACTACCCAGTACAAGTAAGTAACCCTTTACAAGACATACCACAATACAGTACAAGTAAATAACCCTTTACCAAACATACCACAACACAGTACAAGTAAGTAGACCTTTACCAGACATACCACAATACAGTACAAGTAAGTAACCCTTTACCAGACCTACCACTACACAGTACAAGTAAGTAACCCTTTACCAGACCTACCACAACACAGTATAAGTAAGGAACCCTTTACCAGACATACCACAATACAGTACAAGTAAGTACCCCTTTACCAGCCCTACCACAATACAGTACAAGTAAGTAACGCTTTACCAGACATACCACAATACAGTACAAGGAAGTAACCCTTTACCAGACATACCACAACACAGGACTAGTAAGTAACTCTTTACCAGACATACCACAATACAGTACAAGTAAGTACCCCTTTACCAGACATACCACAATACAGTACAAGTAAGTACCCCTTTCCCAGACCTACCACAATACAGTACAAGTAAGTAACTCTTTACCAGCCCTACCACAATACAGTACAAGTAAGTAACGCTTTACCAGACATACCACAATACAGTACAAGGAAGTAACCCTTTACCAGACATACCACAACACAGTACAAGTAAGTAAACCTTTACCAGACATACCACAACACAGAACTACAGGAAAGGTTTTGATTCTGCATTTTTGATAAAGACTCTAATATCAATTTTCAGAGATCAAAATGAACCTTACTAAGAACTAATAATCACAATTGCTCCTAATCATATGGTGTTGTAGCCTTTAGTTTGCTCTTGTATTACAGTTCCTTCCTTGATACCTCTGCCCAATGAAATCCTAATACCAAGTCTGGATGATTTAAAACAACCACATGGAATTCTCAAGAAGTCATCTGCATATGGGTAAGTTGTATGACAGATGTCTTTTATAGGGACCAAGCAATGTTTTGATGGAATAATTCTTTGTGTGATATTAACCCTTTCACCACTGTAGACCATAATGGATTCATCCAGATCAATGCATGGTAGAGTCTACCTAAGTTACATGGGGTTGAAAGGGTTAAGAGGTAAAATTTTGCAGATTTTCCATGAAAGTTGAACTTTTAAGAGTCATATATCCCATTTTGGGATTACCGGTATCCTCAAGTTGATAGAAACTACTTTTTTGAAATGTGTTATGTATGGTAGTCACCTCTGTAAGGAAGAAGAGAAAAAGGGGAAGGGGTAAACTTTACTAACTAAGGCAACATTTTATTGAACTACACATAAATTCAAAAGGTGAAGTGAGAAGTCAACTTTTAATACTATGTAAGAAAACAGGTCTTTATTCTAAAATGACAATATCTAATACACATATTACACATTTACTACTAGCAAATATCTTATTCGGCAAAATAAATTTTGATTTGCTTTTTCCTGTTGAAAAGTAATATAATGGTGCATGTTACAGGCAAAGAGAAGCGACAGCCATGGAAATAGAAGTAGCCAGGCGGAGAAAACCTGCAGGTCCTCCTCCTGGGCCCCCTCCAGAATTGTCTGACAGTGAGGATGAGGAGTATGATCCTGCCAAAGGTTAGAAGATAGATTTATTTTCAGTTGCAGAAATTTTCCATGTTTACCAATAAGTATATGTTTTTAGCTGTGTAACAGATCTTCACCAAGTATGATTTCTTGTTTTCTATGAATTTAGAAATTATTTAAATTTTATTTCAAATTTTACAAAAAGAAGCAGCAAACATGACCATATAAAATTATAAAGTATTTATAACCTTTTTATGTTCAATAAGCCTTTTGTAGAGTTTAAGAAACACACCCATACACGAGGGCTGTTTTCGTTTAAGTGGCTAAACCGGGCGGACCACAGTTTTTCATTTTTAAATAAGGTCGGACCTAGTAATCTGATGCTCCTTTCAGACGAGCCTTGACAAAGCCTTGGAAAGCCTGCATAAACATTGCAGGTCCGCCAGGATTAATACTGAAAATGTTACATTTATAAACAGACAAACCGGTTGTTCCGCATAAACGAACAGGCCCAAGGTGTAAATATATACAATTCAACAATGTGAAGAGTTTTGTCCCTTTCACCTGTCCAACAGTAGTCTTACTTGATATCTCTTGTGTTACAGATATAGAGGAGAACATAGGCACGGTAGATGTGGAAATAGAGGAGCCCCAGGAGATGATGGAGGATGAACCAATGCTACCAGATCCAGAGCTGGAGGATGCCCAGCAAGGTACATACACTTTTTTATCACATACCTGTTGAATCTTGTTATAGTAATACAAGCAATTTTCAGACCATGAATACAACATTCTGTATTGCACATGTGCAATACGGAATGTTGAATTTACCTACTAGCCCGGTATTTGCAAAAAATATCAAAGTTTATAAAATCTTTGTATCGATCTTTACCAAATACGGGAGGTATGTGATAAAAGCAAGACCACACACTTGTGTTTTTTTAACGAATCAAAAAGCACTCATTTATTGCGTGGATGTATATATTCACTATATATATATTCATCCGCGCAATAAACTCATGCTTTCTGATTCGTTAGAAAAACAAAAGTCAAAAGTGTGTGGTCTTGCATATATATGATGAAGTAACATTCAACAAAGGACTGTCTTGTACTTGATACACATACATAACCACAACTGTTTAACTACTCGTAAAACATTTTTTGAGAGTAAATTTATGCTAACCTTCACAATTTGCTTCAAGTCTTGAGTTAATCCATCGCAAAAATCTGTCCCAATTTCTATGATAATAGTACAGTCCGGCCATATAATCTGTCCACTGAAATGAAAATGGCCCTGATAACCTTTTTTGTTGCCTTTTCATTACTGTAAGGAAATAGTAGAGAAGGATCATTTGATGATCTGCTGTATTATTGACTGACAATGAATAAGCAGAAATAAACTGGCATTTCTATCTAATATCAAATATGAATTTGATATTTTTAATTTTCAGCAGCTAAGCAGAGAAAGATAAGATTTGTTGATGACGATATGAGGGATCCTGAAGAGGATGAGAAGGACACAAGGTTAAAGTTTGGTTTACAGAAGAAGGCTGCAGTTACACCACTACAGGCGATGATGTTGAAGATGGCAGGTCAGCCAGGCCCCAAAGGCGTAGAGGTCCCACCGGTCGAGGAAGAGGATAGGATCACAAGACCTCGAGACAGAGATAGGGACCGTGAACGAGATCGTGATCGTGAGCGTGACAGAGACAGAGATCGTGACAGAGATAGAGACAGGGATCGAGATAGAGACAGGGATAGAGACCGTGAGAGGGACCGCGACCATGAGAGGAGCAGAGATAGGGATAGAGATCGGGACAGGGATAGGGACAGGAGGGTAAGGCATTTTATTATACATTTACTGATGATACATTTGAGAAATATTTACGTGATCGAATCCAAAAGTAATATAAAGTAATAAGAACTACATTTGTATGGAATGATATGTGTTTCTATTCTCTTAGACCATCATGTCACACACTTTCGAGAGAATACAAGATAAATAATTTAGTATTCGTCAGCTAAATCTGTTATCGATGACTGAATATTTGCTATGTCCTTGTTCTGTTTATAGGTACATTTCTGACTCGAGAGAGTCAAGCAATTTTCAGTGTTGTTATACTAATGAAACAACTTTGTTTTCTTTTTTCCATCAGAGTGAAAGACGTGAAGATTCCAAGAGGGACGAAGAAGAGAAAAAGAAAGCTGTGGCTAATCTACCAGATGGTCCTCCTGGAGATGAGTCAGCACAGCAAGCCGCCTCATCCGCAAGACTTATCCCTCCTGGTCCCCCTCCCGGTGCACCCCCAGGCCTTCCACCAGGAGTCCCTCCAGGTAAGATATCAATGCTTATCAGGCAAAGGTCAGATTCTGCTGTTGGACATCATTGAAATTGTCACAAATAGGGTAAAATGTTTATTCTGTATGTACATCCTAGCAATATGACATACATATTTGTGTACCATTTGAAATGTTTCTGTAAGAAGTGATAAGAACATTGAAATACGCTCTGAAAATTATTGTCAGAAATGACTATAGTGTTGTCATATTATGGCATATGTAGTGTGTAATGATATTTTGTTATCTCCTTCAGGCCCCCCTTCAGGAGCCCCTCCCATGATGTTCAGACCCCCAATGTTACGAGGAGGACCTCCAGGAGCACCCCTAAGAATGATGCCCCCTGGTCCTCCTCCAGGTCGACCTCAAGGTCTTCCCCCTGGACCGCCACCTGGGTTACCTCCCAACATCAGGCTGCCCCCACGATTACCGCCCGGTCCACCAGGTAACCATGCTCATACAGTATTCAGAAAACAAGAGGTCACATCACCTGAAATACCTAAACATAATGAAGTGTAAAAAATCTGTTATGTGTTCTGGTATATAAAGTGCTCAATTAATGTGTAACAAGGGATATTTTTAAAGATAACTTTTATTGAGTTCTGGTGTTTTGATGTTTACTTAATGTGAAATATCAACAGAGAAATAACAGAATAATAAGTTTATGTGTTTGTTCAAGATTGCAGATTTAATTTGTAATTTGAATGTCTTAACAGTTCTATAAACTGTGATCCATGGCTTGATAGATGACAGACTGTTATTATTACTTTACTATATGTGAGTTATGTCCTTTTTTTATCAGGAATTTACTGACATGATCATGTTATTTTTAAAACAGATCTTCAAAGAGTGAATACAACAAAACTTTGAGAGAGAAAAATCAGAAAGAGAATTTATGTGTCAATTAGTTAATTGGAGTGTCATGTGATAGTATGTAGATATCAGACTGAACCTTTCCCTTCTCCTCCAGGTGTACTGCCGCCCAGATTAATGAGACCACCAGGTGGGCCATTAAACATACTTCCCCCTGGTTTGCCTCCTCCTGGTATTGCTTCTCAGAATCCCAATGTGCTCAGTGCCCCTCCCAGTATCATGAAACTCCCCCAGAAGGCTGGCGGCGACGACAAGAAAAACGCAGCTACAATCGAAGCCAAACCTCAGATCAAGAATGTGATGGGGGATGTTACAAGGTTCACACCGACAGCTCTCAAGGTCAAGCGAGAAGTGCGGGACGCCAAGGGGCGTGTCAAACCTATGGGTAAGTTATTCACAGACTTGCTTCAAACCAATTATTAGAAATGGTATCAGAAACAGAAGGTAAAATATTGTTGATCCCACCACCCATACATTTGTATTATTAAAGCTGTCTCTAAAGTAAAAATGAAAAAAATCCATAGTTGGTTGTTTCCCTTTAATTGAGGTATTTGTTCAAATGTGCTGATTATCTCCCTTCTGTAAGAATCATTGCCTTTTGATGCCTGCAATCCCAAGGTTGACTAATTTGGTATTCTATGAGACCAATTTGGAATTTCACCTCCTAATACTGATAAATAAAACAGTGAGTTAAAATATCTATGAATTAATATAAAAAATCCTACAAATTTGAGAGTGTATAATTTGACCTACATGTTTAAAGTGAGAATGAATACTGATGGTTGTGTTTTTATGATAGGAGGCAAAGAAGAGGAGAAGCGGCTACTAGGCCTGGCTCCTGTAGCAGCTCCAGCCTCAGCAGCAGCTCAGACCAAGACGAAGGACGACGCCTACGACCAGTTCATGAAGGAAATGGAGGACCTCTTCTGATCTCATCATCCTCTTTTCAGGGTAAGTGTATAACTCTTAAACATTAAGCATTATATTTGAACAATTTTCAGTTTATAAACCAAGGATTTTCAATGGTTTGTTTATCAATATCATACATATTTCACGAATATGGCAGATTTTTCTGACATTTTCACAAGTGTGAAATAACATTGTGAGACATTTAATTTCAAGTCAAAATCACATACAGTTGTGGGACCGCACAACGCACCAAAAATAGCGTGCGCACACCGTGCATACATCGTTCACACACCGTCCGCACATCGTCCACACATGGTGCGCACAACTGTGCGATTTAGCAATCGTTCGCCCCGTTGTGCGCTTCTCTCCGCACAACTGTGCGATTTGGTATCATTTGTAGATCAAAATTACGGAATGACAAAAATACGGAAGGCTTGTATGCGATAATGTACACTGTGTATATATCTGTAATTTCTCATCACAATAATCAAGATTATACAATTTCACAATGCGTGTTACACAGTATTACAGCGACCGTTAGGCTGTCAAGAATGGGTTTGGCTCCAAGGTAACAGAACAGGTAAATAACAATTTTATGAGTGTCCGGAGTTTTACCTGACCAGTGCCTGACACACAGAGCTGATATGCGATACCGTTTGACCGTAATGAATAGTATTTGTTATTTGCATTCGTTTGCCTATGGCTCCCCTTCACCTGGATTTTCACACCCCCGGCCTTACCCGACGAGTTACGTAAGTGCCCCAGGCGGGGAGAAAACTACGGTCCAGGTACATGTACAAAGTGGTTATGTTTACCTGTATACGGGATTGTGTTGTAATTTTACATGTGTCGATTAAGTTTGTTTAAAAACACAGAAAACACAATTTCTAAATATAAGAATGTATAGACAGAAAGATAAGTTTATAGATGTTGCTAGAATATAGAAACATACGTAAACATCAAGTTTATATGTTTAAACACGAAACCGTATAAATTATTAAGGCATTCCTCAATTTACACCAACCACGATTGTTATCGCACAACGTCCGTCCATCGTGCGCACAGATGTGCGCAAGCAATGATCGTCCAGCTTTTTATCGTTCGCCCATCGTGCACACATCGTGCGCACACCGCACATCGTGTAACGTTGTGCGATCCCACAACTGTATCACTTTTGTATTGTAACAAAATAGTCCACTTTATTTCATCACTGTTGAACACTACATTATTTTAGTTCTTGTATGCAGTGAAGATATCACATTTATCATACTGATAATTCTCCATATCTCTCTCATAAAAAAATGTTTTGAAATACAAAATTTTAATATTTATTAGATAAATAGAATCTTCAGTAAATTAAAAGTGATATCTTCAGTGCAGTGTACATTTAATTAACATTCTCAATTTAAAACAATTAAAACTGTTAGATCATACGGGGTGAAAAGGTATCTATCTTTATTTGGTCCTCTTTGTTATATAGCTAGATTTGTTTTTGCATCAATTTTTCATACCCCCTTGGAATAACTCTATTGGACCACCTTAACTGCTTGGCTAGACATTTATTATACATCTACATCATACCCACTTCCTCTACTGAAGTGATATCATACAATAACTCGATTGGACCACCTTAACTGCTTGGCTAGACATTTATTATACATCTATATCATACCCACTTCCTCTACTGAAGTGATATCATACAATAACAGCTATTTCACTTGATTTCAAGCTCACATTTGGGGTCAGATATTTTCTCTTTATGTTGATAAGGGTAAAACATAATTTATTTAATCCTTAAATTCATAATCTGATGAAGCAAGTATTGTTTTTACACCTACCTAGTGATTATTATAGTTAGATTTAAGCTCAGTATCTTGATTTGATTGAATTGCAAGGAGAATAGGGCCAGTAACTGTTTTCCATGTGTAGCTGCTCTAGCAGCATTTTACAGGTGTTGAATGTCATGGCCTTTCTTTTGTCCTCAACAATTTTCCACATTTTTCTAATCAATCTGTGTGGTGTTCATGTTTGTGCAATATGTGGATTTGTATTTTAAACTATCTCAGATCTGCAGTACGGTTATCTTTAATGTTAGAATTCAGTACACTTACCCATGTTTTACACTGTATATACTTGTTTCCTTCTGCCATATGATGAAATATATATAATAGGTAAAAGATTATACCCTTTGAGTACAGGTAAAAAGTGATTTTAACCTATATTAGTCTGGAGCATTCTTTGGCCCAGGAGACAATATTTCATAAGCAAAAAACATGTCCCACCCAGGAAGCAGAAATATAGTTAATAATTTTAAAGACTTCTTGAATGTGGTTACTGAGATTTTAACCTGGTTTGGTTTGGTGCATTCTTTGCAAAATGTTGTGCAGATTATCACCATATTTAATTCGAATTATCAAGAAGACATGGTGGTCATATATTATATGAAGTTTGTATGATCCCTTGGGCACGAACAATGGCTCACCTAAAGACGTATCTCCACAATATAGCCATATAAAAACATAATAGACAACAAGAGACAATTACATCCATGCTTCCATGATTCACACTGGGGTCCAGCCCTCCCTCGGGTATTTGCATCATATCCTGAAAAGCAATATCCTCACTCAAGCCTTGCTGTCCGGCCCATCTTTGTATGAAGAGATCTTTGTATGAAAAGATGAACACAATCCTGCTACTGGGGACTTAGTTTCTTGGTCAGGGAATTTAATTGGCTATCATGTCTATCCCATATTACATAAAGTAACTTAAAAATACATTCATGATATCAGAATTTGTCTCGGGTCTGTCCCTGAGTCATTACATAAAAACAGCTAAGATCCCCATATAAGCTGCACAATCATGCGACCAGGATTAGTCCCTCTGTCAGCCTTACCCCTGGTGGTTAAGTCCCTGTGTTATGACATGGGTTTTGCTGAGATTCCCACCCTATAACCATGTAAGAATAAAGAGACCATTGTAATTATGCTAGCATGATTGGCTCATAGGTCCAGCCTGGTCCATATTGATTTTGTTCCCCGGTCATAGCATAGAAAAACGTTTGCATTCCAACCATATAACCTTACATAATAAATAAATTCATATTGTAATGATTATATAAATATTAAGGGGAGCAATACAAGGCTTCTGGGACTTTTGGTTTTCTGCACCAGCTACCATGTAGAAAATTTGACAAAATGCTTTATTTATCAGTATGCTAAGGTGTTTTTATATAGAAACTTAACAGTTCAAAAATCAGTGTGGTAGATTTTAAATAATCCTTTTATGTTCAGCAACGGTGCTGCATCCTTTATCAACTTTGCTTTAAACATCTTCCACAGAACCACAAGGCCTAGGTCATGATATTTGTCCTGTTAAAGTTAGTAAAGTTGATAAAGTTGCAACTAAACATGCTTAAGGCTGTTCAATTTAATTGCTTTAGGTCACATGGTGGTAAAATGTGAAAATGTGAAATCTTTAAATTGTGTGTATTGCATCAGATTTCTTTCTCACTGGTATGTTCCAGATTGTAATATGACCAAGTTCGAATTATAAAACAAATTGGTGTTCTCTAATTAATGCAATTTTTGTCGTATTGGTCACTTTCAAAGTATATTAATAGGATTCATCAAAGATTCTGGCGATCGTGTTCCTACAATACCAGTTCATCTCTTGGAAAAAAGGCAAATTTGAATAGTAGTGAACAAAGAATTTTCATTAAAATAAAATGTGTATATGGATATATCCTGATTTTTAGGTCACCTGAGACAAAGTCTCAAGTGACCTATTGCGATCGCCTTTTGTCCGTCGTGCGTCCGTAAACAATTTACATCTTCGACTTCTTCTCCAAAACCCCTGAACCAATTTCAATGAAATTTTGCAGAAACCTTTCATGGCCAAAGGTCAACAAAAATAGTAGCTGGTTTGGTCCCCAGCCCCCAGGGGCCTGAGGGGCGGGGCCAAAAAGGGTCAAATTGACTAAAATTTCAAAAATCTTCTTCTCAAGACCCAGATATGGTAGAATCAAATACTCTTCATAGATGGAAGGGTCTTAAGGTGCTTTACCAAAATTGTGAATTTCTTGACCCTGGGGTCTCACATTTCCCCCTGGGGAGGGGGTAAACTTTACTATAGTTTATATAGGGAAATCACATTTTGGACCAACATTTGTTTAATTTCCATTGGAAGTAATTCAGTTTTGGTTATCAGTGTTAGGTAGTAGTTTGATGGTATGCACATATCAGCCCTGACTGACCCCCCGGGGCTGATGGGTTGGGCCAAAAAGGGTTGAATTTACTGAAATTTCAAAAATCTTCTTCTCAAAGACCCAGATATGGTAGAATCAAACACTCTTCATAGATGGAGGGGTCTTAAAGTTTATGACCCTAGGGTCTCACGTTTACCCCCTGGGGAAGGGGGGGGGGGGGCAAAAATTATTATGGTTTGTAATGGCAAATGATACTTTGAATATTACATGTTAATAACTTGATTGGAATTATAACCCTGAGTTGACAGTTTGATACTTTGAAAATTTTGAGCCAGCCCTACCCCAAGGGCTGTAGGGTGGGGCCCAATCAGTGTGCTAAAATTTCTTCATTTTCCTTGTTTAGAAGCGGAGGTGTTAGTTTCAAATACTTTTTAGTCTTAAATCTGTATGCTAGATATTGAATAAGGTGGTTTTATTGTTTTTTGTCACTTTGAAAATAGTTCTGTTCATGTTTAAAACCAAATTAACTCTCTGTATAAATATATCAGGTGACCATTAAGGCCCATGGGCCTCTTTGTTAAATAATGCAATTTTCTTTTTAATTCAGTTCTTTTATTCATAATCACATTTTTTATGTACATATGTGAACATTACAAATGTAAACATGAGCCATATATTCACAAATCGTGTATATTATACATATGGATTTACATATGTACATTCAACAATTTCTCTTAGGTACAACACACAACATGTCCATACTGGTAGTTTGAATGGGTTACAAAGTGAAATCATCCAATTGATATTATCCCCAAACACTTTAAACAAAACTTAAGGC